TATGTATGTGTATATATATATATATATATATATATATATATATATATATATATATATATATATATATATATATATATATATATATATATATATATATATATATATATATATATATATATATATATAATACTGTCATCAATTCACATTATAGGGCCTTATACAAATTATTTCACATAATATACAATATTATGTAAAATAATTTTATATGAATATTAGTGTAATGCCTAACAAAAATATACATATAACTCAATAAGCGTTAAAAAAACTGCATGTTAAAATAATCTAGAAACATAGCCAAAACAATTTACTAATTATTCATTAATCGTGATAAATTCATTAATTTAAATAGTTAAATAATAATTAATTAAATATAAATTAATTAAATAAATATAATATTTGATTAATTAATATGAGTATACAATAAATTAATGAATTACTTTCACAATGTAAGAGAAATTGAATGTGAGTAGAATACTTAATCAATTAACATCACATTGATTGAGACGTGTGGAGAAGACGAATAGTACTCGATTTATTATACAATAAGCAGATTAGAATAGAGGTACTCTTTCTACAACAGTCTTATGGGTACCTTTGTCCCATTAATGTTTCCGTCGCCAAGTAGCTTTGTGTCTTTTTTTACAACACAGGGGGCAAACGAGCATGCGGCTCACTTGATGGTAAGTGACTACCGCCGCCCATGATCGCCCACAACATCAAAGGCATTGCAGGTGTGCTGCCGGCCTTTTAAAAAGGAATATGCTCTTTTCTTGAAGGTTATGATGTCGTATCGGTTTTTTTTTTTGGGGTTAGATGTATCAGAAACATTAAAAAGTAAGGAGATAAAATACCGCGTGATGTGCATCATAGGTGTCACAATGTACTCTGTGACGCCCATAGTGCTGTATGTCTATGATTATGTATATTTAGATGGGTCGTCAGCTTAAAAGCGTTCAATTCAGAAATGGAATTTTTTGTACATTAAAATCAGAAGCATTCATTAAAAATATTCATTAATTACTTATTTAAACCACAAGGGGGCGTCCATTAATGACGTCTGCTTAAAATGGGGGGAGAGATTCGGTAAAATCCCACCAAATCTCATTTATAACTGGAGGGGTCAGTGAAAATCTCACATAAAATATTTATTTGTTTATTTTCTTTTATTTCACTTAAATAAATAAACTTTATTATTATTACTAAAATGAGCGAATAAAGTAAAATACAACAACATATAAAAAAAATATAAATATTTCAAATTTCATAAATCCTTATTAATATTATAAATGTGAAAGTGAGTTTATTTATTAGTTTTTTCTAGCAACTTAGAATGGCAAACAAGCTGACAGCCCACCTGATGGAAAGTGATAACCGTCGCCTATAGACATGAGCAGTACCATGGACATAACAGAGTATACTGTTTCGCCCATGATACCCCCCATGCGTTGCCATTCCTGACAACTCAGGTGTTATTCGTGTGTTCCGTAAATTCACTGCCATATCCCAGCCTTCAAACCGAAATACAGTTATGCGAACATAACTGCTTTACGGTAGAAAGACGAATGGGACAGTTGTACCCGAGCAAACAACTTTTGTACAAAGTCTCCCTCTGGTATACAAATGTTTGTATTTTGTTTATGAATGAGAATGGTATGGTATGGCTCATCCTAGAAACTATCGTGGTTTATTCTACTAGAATTCCTTACGATGGGCTAACGCTAATGCAGGTTGCATTCATCGTATATACGATGGCGGTGATGGGAGGAGGGGGTACCAATGAGGTATGATAGGAGAGACTGAACAAAAAATTGAAAAAAAGCCTTGACATAAATAACTGTCATTCCTTCATTCCTACCACTTGTTAACCTGTCGTAACAATGTTGTGAGTCTCGACAACTTTGCGATGATCGCTTTATGAGGCGCAACTTATCAAATCCGAGTGAATCCTATACTTTCATGGCATGAGGGGTATCATGGGCGGAACAGTATACTCTGTTACGTCCATGCTACTGCTCATGTCTATAGGCGACGATTACCACATTCCATCAGGTGGGCCGTCAGCTTGTTTGCCGTTCTAAGTTGTATAAAAAAAAAACTTTCTCCATTCATATATTATTGACATCGGCCACGATGTTTCATATTCACCAGAATTGACAGGAGACATTGTACAAAAGTCGTTTGCTTAGGCACAAAAAATTAATGGAACACATTCGTGTTTCTACCGTGAAGCAGTTTTGTTTGCATGGTTGTGTTTTGGTTTTCGTCCTTAGGAATGGCAATGCATGGGGGGTATCATGGGCTAAACAGTATACTCTGTTATGTCCATGGTACTGCTCATGTCTATAGGCGACGGTTACCACTTTCCATCAGGTGGGCCGACAGCTTGTTTGCCATTCTAAGATGTATAAAAGAAAGGCTTAGATTAATATAAACAGATATATTTTAATGAGTTCATGATAGGTGAAAGATTACCTAAGAGAACCCTAATTTTACAAGCTTCCATAGGCTACAGTGACAATTTACCGTCAAACGAACTGTATGTTTGTTTGCCTACTATTAATTCTAATACAGATACTGTGTTTAATAACATGTTTGCCCATAAATGGGACAATATTACAACTGGGCAAAGAACTCATTGAGTTTACGCGAACCAACCTTTAAATGATAACATTTGACTTCACTTTTAAGTTTGTTATTGAACTAATTTAATATATATTTTGTCTGTTTGTCACATTTTTAATTATTTTGTCAATTTTTTTTTTTGTATTTTTATATTTTTGTTAATATTATTTGATGTATATAGTACATTTGATACAAATATTAGGTTATTAGGAAAATGACAAGATATACAGATGCACTTATCTCTCTGAATGAATTACTTCCTGTTAACCTTGAGAACCTGAAAAGAGAAAATAGCTATAGAGATTGTATGTAAAACATTACATATATCTATACTTATAATAAATCTGTAGAGAGGTCAATTCTGTACATGAAATATATTTCCAAAATAACTATCACGGGGTGATTAGTGATCGATACTGATGCCAAAAATGCAATCAGTAAAATTTTTGTCTGTCTGTCTGTATGTTCGTTATAGAAACAAAAACTACTCGACGGATTTTAACAAAACTTGGTGCAATTATTCTTCATACTACTGGGCAGGTTATAGTATACTTTTCATCACGCTACGATCAATAGGAGCAGAGCAGTGAAGGGAAATGTTGGGAAAACGAGAGAAGTTACTCCATTTTATAAGCTTCCGTCGCGTGTACAGTATTTGTATTGTATTAAAATGTAAAAATGTCCACCCGTGCTACGCCGGGACGGGCCACTAGTAGTGAATCAAATTTATACTGTAAATAATAATTGACTGGTTAAATGCTTCTATCATTTAGTCGACCTGTAAAAGTACTTGTTCATACTAAAAAAAGGAATAAGAAAAAAAAAATTTATTCAAGTAAACTTAAATTTAACCATTTTTGAATAGTCATTTTTTTTATACAACTTAGAATGGCAAACAAGCTGACGGTCCACCTGATGAAAAGTGGTAACTGTCGCCTATAGACATGAGCAGTACCATGGACATAACAGAGTATACTGTTTCGCCCATTTTTTTCATTACCATCCATTCGAAAAGAAATTTCACCCAAGAAGAACGGACAAGAAACTCAGCTGTTGCTTTTTTCAAAAAGTTTTATTTTGTAAATAATGTATTTGTATAAATACAAAGTATCAAAAAATAAATTTGACGATAATATAATAAACTATAATTGATAACTTTATAATTATGAAATGAATATATAAACAAAATAAAATTATAAATGACTCGATACTTTTCCCAAAGAAGCATGGATTCTAAAATAATAAAAACTTATGAACCCCATGCCTACTAATGGCGTGTTAGTAGGAGATAAGAAAGGGTCAGGTTTTTACCTGACCCTTCTTTATCAGGAAGGAAATCCCTAAAAAATACTCCACTAGGTAATTTTTAAAGGACTTTCAAATAAAGAATGAAAAATGAAAGAATTCTCATTTTGTTTAAGTGAAGGATGATAAAATTAGCCCTCCGTGACAAATTCAACAAGAATTGTTCACGATGGTTTCCAGGGGGAACCACATGGAGGTCGACTTAATAAGGCGTATTGCTAGCAATGGGGCTGTCAAACTCCATTGCTAACAATCCCTTTCCCCGCACATCACACTGTTTATCGTTGCACTCATAATTGAATTTTTTTTTATCAACCGCCTTCAGAAAGAAAGAGGTTCACAATTGGTTTATATTTTTTTTTATGTTTGTTATCTCATAACTCTGTCAGTTGTATACCGATTTGAAATTATTTTTTTTTTTTACCTGAAAGAATATATTTAATAATATTTTTTCAAATTTTTTGGTCGATAAATCTACCAAAAATAACCAACTGTAATTTTTTCCAGAACACAATCTTAAATAATTTATACAGAGTAATTTAGCTACATAGATACTCTTTATTGTTTCCTCCAAAAGATTACAATAGTAAACTTATTATAAATATAAACAGTTACAAGAAATAATCACGGTGAGAAAACAATGGGCGACCTTATCGCTAAGAGCGATCTCTTGCAGGCAACCTTTGGATCGAGAGGAGTAATTATAAACAATTTGATTGAAGGCACGATGAAAAATTCTGTTAGTTCTAAATATGGAAATAAATATTTTTTTTTTTAAATACTCAGTCATTTATTGATTGACACAGAATTTATTTTAATCTATGTATTAACTTATTTAATATAATAAAATTGTAACAAGATGGTGTCTATACATGGGATATCATCATCATATACATAGGAAAGTAAATAAATGTATTTATTTATTTATTGGAACCGTAAAAAAAAATTACAATATTTAGTTATATATTTTTACGTGAATCCATTGAATATTCGCTAGTTATTCGTACATTGTATAAACAAGTCAAAGCTTATCAATATACGAATACAGATAGCCAGGTTAAAGATCCCTGCCCTGCCAAATATTACACATACTCGTAGTTGTCTTTAGTCATTATTAAACTTAATATAGAAGCGCCATGACACACAAAATGTGGATGAAAATATTTTTATTGTGCGTTTGTGGATTCACAAAATCTGTAAGTTACATATCAACATACCTATACTATTTAATCAGATAAGGCAGAAAGTGACAAATACTATGTATATACTCGTATATGATATATATATATATATATATATATATATATATATATACTAGCCAACTTTTTGTCAGCTAAATGTCAAATTCTCTGACTCGTTTTTGTATCAGTGTTCTATATACTTACGCACACAATGTGCGTAAGTATATACATAGATCAATCTCGATATATTTACATTTAATTATATATAAATTTAAATGAGTTTTTACGCATTAAAAAGATGCAAAAAGTATACAAGAAAATCAATATAGAAGTTATAAAGGAATCACTCTTAACTATTTGTCACGCAAAACTGTATGACAAAGTTGAACCACTTTTCTCAAAGCATTTATCTTTAATTAACCAATCAAGTACATATCTTCCATTTCAACTTATATATTCATAAATATCATTACATTTAAAATAAATATCAGTGTATCTAAAACATATGGACATAACAGAGTATACATATATATATATATATATATATATATATATATATATATGTATATTTGTTTGCATTTGCATTCATGTCTATTGTTATTTGTGTGCTGTAAGTAATGCAAATAAATTATCTATCTATTAATCCACATTTTATGATATCTTTTGTTTACTTAAGTAATTTATTATTACTTAATTTATTAATTTTACTAACGAGATATTTCTCTAGGTTTTTTTTTGGGCGAAAATGGTATGGTAACCCCGCCCGCGCTAACGGGATACGCTGGCGGAACACCAGTGAAGGGTGAAGAATGAAAAACAGGCCAGTTAGCCCATCATGATGAATTCACTAGGAATTAACCATGATAGTTTCCAGGGGGAACCGCGAGGAGGTCGACCTGGTTGGGTATATTGCTAGCAATGGGATTCTCAGTCTCCATTACTAGCAATCCCTTTCCCCCCACAAAAAGATGTTAAAGAGGTTTCTTCAACGCGCGCGTAGTTCCCGTGGTTTTTTTTTTTTTTTTTATATTACTCAGAATGGCAAACAAGCTGACGGCCCACCTGATGTAAAGTGGTAACCGTCGCCTATAGACATGAGCAGTACCGTGGACATAACAGAGTATACTGTTTCGTCCATGATACCCCCATGCGTTGCCATTCCTGAGGACTCAGGTGTTATTCCTCTGTACCCAGTAAATTCACGCCATATCCCACCCTTCAAACCGAAACACAGCCATGCAAACACAACTGCTTCACGGTTGAAACACGAATGGGACCGAGGTACCCAAGCAATCGACTTTTGTACAAAGTCTCCCTCTGGTATTGCAGGCGTTCATAGGCTACGGTAACTGCTTGCCATCAGGTGGGCCGTATACTTGTTTGCCACTTGAGTTGTATAATTTATTATAGCTTTTACGTGTGATTTCGTCCAAGTGACCATGATATGTTTACTACTGGGAAATTCCTTTTCCATTCCATATAATATGTGTATAACAAATTTCATAGTGAATGGTTTAGCAGTTAAGGCGGTATAAGGCAACAAACGAACAAACTTAATTTTATATTTATAATATTAATAAAGATTTCATAATATTGGCTGGTTTGAATTCTTACATTCATCTAAAAGTTCCAAATTCAAATGAATTTATTAAAAAAAGAAATAAAATACAAAATGGCCGGTTTTTTTTCTGAATTAACGTTATCTATGACCATGAAAATATTTAAACATCCAATTTATTTCGATACAAATTACATAATACTAATACAGTAAAACTGAACTTGGTGCTTGTTCTACAATAAATTTTAGTTTATATGCTTTTTATTTTAGTCCTTTTATAAAAAAAAAAAACATTAATTAAAATAATAGAGAATAGAAGAGGCAAAATGCTGGGCCGCCTTATACGACATGACGATTTTTTTAAGAGCATAGTAGAGGGAAAAATACAGGGCAAAAGAGGAAGAGGAAGACCGAGGAGTAACTACATGGGACAGATAAAAGAAACACTAGGTGTCATGTCGTTTAGGGAGGTCAAGGATATGGCCTGGAATAGAGCTAGCTGGAAAACGATGCATGAATTAGTTGCACCGACAAGAGGAAACTCTTAAATGAAAAAAAAATAGGAAAGCTACATGTAACTTCTTACAGGGCCGTCAGCTTGTTTGCCATTCTAAGTTGTACAAAAAAACATGTTACAACGGACATAAATACATATGAGTAAAAGGCAAATAGAAGAAGATTATTTCCATTGCAATGCTTCATTTATATTCCTTCCAGTTAACCACTTCCTTCGATCTTGGAGGTGTTTTATCAGGGAATCGAATGGCGGGCGTGCCTCTCGGCCGGTCGCTGGGCGACGGAGAACTGGATGTAGAAGGAATATGCTCAGAAGCGGGCGTCACCTGCCAAAACTGTACCCACGCCGTTACCTGTATACCCTTGCCCGTGGGCTGGTTAAAGGTACGTACAAATTTTATGCAAAAACTCGGAATTTTTTTTTAATTGATGAAAATGGTATGCTAACCCCGCCCGTGCTATCGGTATACACCGACGAAGCACCAGTGAAAGATGATAGGTGAGAACGAATGCAGGTCAGTTGGCCCACCATGATGAATTCGACAAGAAGTAACCATGATGGTTTCCAGGGGGAATCGCGTGGAGGTCGACCTGAGAGGGTATATTGCTAGAAATGGGGCTATTAGACCTCATTACTAACTATCCCTTATCCTACCCACGATGGATCAAATAAGCTGATTTCATCCACACCTATCTTCGCTCACTGTTACACCAATATATACCAATAGCGTAGGCGAGATTACCATTTCGTTTTCACCTCATAAACAACGCTGTTCTCATCTTAGTTCTCTCTATAGTTGCCGTTACAAGAATGTACAGACGGGACCACCTGTAATGCGAACCTTGGCCAGTGTTCGACGAACCATGTCCCCGAGTGTAACAACAAGCTGGCGACATACGAGCATGTGTGCGAACAGGTAATAAACTTTATAAAGCATCATCATATATTATTACATACCAGAGGGAGACTTTGTACAAAAGTCAATTGCTTGGGTACCTCTGTCCCATTCGTGTTTCAACCGTGAAGCAGTTGTGTTTGCATGGCTGTGTTTCGATTTGAAGGGTGGAATATGGCGTGAATTTACTGGATACAGAGGAATAACACCTGAGTCCTCAGGAATGTCAACGCATGGGGGGTACCATGGGCGAAACAGTATACTCTGTTATGTCCATGGTACTGCTCATGTCTATAGGCGACGGTTACCACTTTCCATCAGGTGGGCCGTCAGCTTATTTGTATTCTAAGTTGTATAAAAAAAATCTACTCCTGAACTGCTTAAATCGAAGAGAGCTCTCCTCTTTGATTTAGGCGGATTTACTCTTAGATTTCTTTTCGTCGGTGTCGTAAGAAGCGACTAAAGGAGCTTAATGGTAGAAGGACGAGCAGTATCCTTCTTAAAACATCTCTAAACATGTAACTGCGGTTGCCAACCCGCTTGCCAGGCGTGGTAGCTACTGGCAAAACTCCTCTTATGGGGAAAACTTACGTTCAGCAGTGAACAGTTAACGGCTGAAATGATGATAATGATGATTAGGCGTTCGATTGCTTCTGCCTACCCCAATAAAAGACAGGCGTAATGAATATGTACATATGTTTCAATTTCGATTCTCTTTAAATATTTATTCTTATGTTAAAATCCAAGTCTATTACCTATTGCCATCCACTATTCACCTACCAGACCTCAAAGCTCATGTTTGTAAAACCTAGATACAACACTAATGGATGGAGGTTAATGCCTCACTTGACATTTCGTATCTTCACAGCATAATCTTAGAACTCAGAATATCTTCCACACAATTCCACACAGACAATTATAATGTGTCTACAAATAACACGCAAATTTTATAAACTCTTCCTTTAAGCAAAGTTCCTTATAGGTTTAGCTGCCAATACACATCGGTGGGGGTTTTATTTTTGTTGGTTGCACTTTTATTTAAATGGGGAGCTTCAGTAGTATTCGACACATAGATATGATTTTATATAGATGACGTAACTGCATGTATTTGCGTAGCTATTATTGACCTAGATAGGCTCAAAAGAATATAATTCCAAACTTTATATAACACTAACTAACTGCTTCAACTTCTTAATGATAATGATTCTTCTCAATGAAACTAATTTTTATCTCCAAATATTCGACAACAAGTCTGTCAATACTTTCGTAAATCTCCCATTTTCTGTCTCACTCACTAGCTCACTTTTATATACAGAAAATTTTAACACAAATTTTTCACTTTGTCATATAATTTTTAAACATATTTCTGTTATGCAAATTTTGTCTTAACAATTTCAAACATAATCAAACATACCATAATGTATATTAAAAACAAAAAAAAACAATATACCAAAACCGCATTACAGTTAGTATTTTTGTAGGCGTTTACTGCAAAAAAATATTTTACTATAAATTAATAACTCTACTCCAAACTTTTTGGCTGTGAGTTACGTCATCTATTCTATCCATATCCATGGTTTGTAGATGGAGAGGAAAATAAAGTAGAAAATAACCCCGATGTTATTCCTCAAAAAGAAAACAGAGATTTCAGACACTTTGACAGATTGAAAGACTACTTAAGCTGTAACTTTAGTATTGCCAGATCGAATAGTTTTTTCTCTTGGAGAAATGAAATTTTGAAAGGAAAAATTTTAGAGAAAAATACAATGAGTTTGAACAAATTTGTGTAATTTTTTGGTCATTTTTCGTACTTGTAAAATATAAAAAAAAAAATAGCAAAATAAAGAATGGGATGAGAGACAGAGAGGGTAAGATAAGCTAGAGGTGGGAACAGAAGGGATTACAGTTTTTTTTGACCGCTCTTTCTATGGCACCTGGCAAAACATACTGAAAAAGATACGACTTTGTGATTGGGTGAAAGTTCTGGAAATTGTATCGATTTTGATGAATAAGATTATGTGGTAATTTTATCATTAATTAACATATATCTTTTACTGTATACTGTGTGGATATTGCAACTGTTATGTAGTATGTAGTATTAAAATATTTATATTTAAATTAAACTATAACGCGGTTTGGGACCTTGATTAAGTCATGCTCACTAAAATGTCTAGACGAGTGGTGGCGTTGTGGGCCAGGTTATTGAGTTCCCTAAAATATGGTTGAGCGCAATGATGGCTGGCTCACCCGTCATACTCGTGAACGGTTGCTGCCTGTAACTGGTCTGCTCTGGTCATTGCAATCGATTTATTTTAGTGGTTTGTTTTAATTATTGTTAAACATTGTTTATATTCACACAAATTTATATAGTTAAACTTTTTGAAAAAAGCAGCAGCCTAGTTTCTTGCCCGTTCTTCTTGGCTGAAATTGCATTCCGAATGGGCGATAATAAAAAATGACTATTCAAGAATGTTAAAATGTAAGTTTACTTGAAAGAAGATAAATATTTCTTTTTTTCTTTCTTTTTTAAAACTTTTTAACGTTTGCGTAAAAATTCTGATCCACTTACCAAATGTCTAGCCTCGGTTTACTTAATATTTATCCAAACGAGCTCACAAACTGTTCATTCAGATATTATTAGAGTGAACCGGAAAACCGAGGTTTACTAACCCCTTGACATTTTATCAACTCACTTTAGATAGCAATCTGACTGCGCCATCCACATGATTTCACTCATTGATTGTCATTCTGTCAGTTCGCCTCGTCATCCAATATCCGAAACGTGCAAGTAACGATACTTTGTTTACAATCGTATGCGAAGGTCATATATAGTTATTTATCATGATAAAGATTTTAAATCGTTAAAATTTTACAAACATTTATTATGCATTCAGTTTCGTTCCATTCGTGTGCAGTTCTACCGTGAAGCAGTTGTATTTGCATGGCTGTGTTTCGGTCTGAAGGATGGGATATGGCGCGAATTTACAGGGTACAGAGGAATAACACCCGAGTCCTCAGGAATGGCAACGCATGGGGGGTATCATGGGCGAAACGGTATACTCTGTTATGTCCATGGTACTGCTCATATCTATAGGCGACGGTTACCACTTTCCATCAGGTGGGCCGTTAGCTTGTTTGTCATTCTAAGTTGTATAAAAAAAATGTTTTATAGGGGAATGAACGTAATCATTTATGTAAACTATGATGATATAAAACATCACCAAAAGTCTGACTACGATTGCCAAACCTCCTGCCTAACGTCCAACAACTACTGGCAAAACTCCCCTTATGAGGAAGGCTTATATCCAGCAGTGAACAGTTAACGGCTGAAATAATAATAATAATAAATTCTTCTATTCCACAGGTGGGTATATTCCCTGATGCATTCGACTGCAGAAAGTTCCACCTCTGCTCGCCACCAGAAGGTTATCCCGATGGAAAGCCAGCCGACCGCAGATCAGCATTATGTCCAAGACATTATGGTTACAACCCGTATACCGCACAATGCTCGGTAAGGATGTCACTTATTTATTTTAGAGCCTCGAATGCGTATACAAATTACTCGGCGGGCTATGGAGAGGGCTTTTTTTTATGGGTGAAAATGGTATGGTAACCCCGCCTGCGCTAACGAGATACGCTGGCAGAGCACCAGTGAAGGGTGATAGATGAGAATGAAAACAGGCATATTCATCAGGAATTAACCATGATAGTTTCCAGGGAGAACCGCGAAGAGGTCGGCCTGGTTGGGTATATTGCTAGCAATGGGATTCTCAGTCTCCATTACTAACAATCCCTTTCCCCCTTATGAAAAGGGCTATGCTCGAAGTATCTTTGTAGAATCCGAAAGCAGTAATAAATACTCGAATCTCTTCGTGTTTGTATAGACGTGTAAAAATGAGGTGACGATTAAATTAAAATATTCATTAAGTAGCAAAAAAAGCATCGATGTACCGCTATTACAAGTTAGAAACTGGACAAGACTATGGATCATTGATATACAAAAACTCTAGACACCCACACAGGTTATTTGATTAGAATTATCTTGTTTAATTCCGTTAACGACTTCTGCAAGATAATACCTAGTGTAGTAAAACGTCTAGAGGTACAGTTATAGACAAAAAATGCATTAATCTCTAATCGACCAGTGACGTTTTACATTTATGGTAAAACATGCCCGTATTTTATTGCAAAAATAAAAATAATAATTCAAGATTTGGTTCCAAAAAAACGACTTCAATCGTAGCAAAATCAATTATTTTGATATAAAAACTGAGCTACTCAACCTATTTTCATAAAATTTCTATGGTACTAGCCTAAAAGAGTATTCTTTCAGATAAAAAGAAAAAAAATTTCTAAATTGGTTTATAACTAACCGAGTTCTGAGGTAACAAACATAAAAAAGTACCTGCGAAATGAGAACTACTTTTTTCGAAGTTAGTTGAAAAAATATACTTACAACTGTAGCATATCACAAAAACATATTATATAACAGTTTCCTTCATATAGTACGTTAGATGTTAAAGATATTTTATGATGCCCTACAACCCCCCATGCGTTGCCATTCTTGAGGGCTTATGTTGGTGTGTATCTGGGGTCATTTTATATCAATGCCACAGATATAATACAAGACTTGACACCCGACCCTAAACCACGCGACGCGTGTTTCCATTTATTACGGAGTCATGCAACGTGAAGTCCAATTTAATCACCTCAAAGTCTTATGGCATATTTACTATGTCTATTAACAATACAATTGTAAAACATTGCCATATAATATCTACAAGTTAGACTCGTGTAATTTAGTGGTATAAGTTCGGTTATAGTCGGTACTGAAATTGTATTATTAAAAAAATTGCTCATGAACCTACAATCAATGAGACAGGAAGACCCTTGCGTGTCGACCCTATAATGCCAAACACAGTATAGGACGACCCCTCACTAAATAATGCAATGACCTGAAATGCATTACAGGAAATTAGTAGATGCAGGTTGCTTGGTTCTGATCATTAAATTCGGCGTGAATTTACTGGGTACAGAGGAATGACACTTGAGTCCACAGGAATGGCAACGCATGGGAGGTATCATGGGCGAAACAGTATACTCTGTTATGTCCATGGTACTGCTCATGTCTATAGGCGACGGTTACCACTTTCCATCAGGTGGGCCGTCAGCTTGTTTGCCATTCTGAGTAGTATAAAAAAAAATTAGGTTCCCTTAGTTTCCTCTTACAGCATCCACAGGAAAGGAAAGAGTGGCCCATTCTATGCCAAAACCACACGGCAATTTTTTTTAATGTAACCATATTTAATGCAAGTATAGAAACTGAATTTTACTTACAGGTAAAACTAGCCAAAGGTCAGTGTTCAGAAACTCCGGTTCCAGAATGCACGAAAATAGGCCAAACCGGTGCCCTACGGTACAGCGTGAACCATTACTATGTGTGTTTATCGAAAAGAGGTCGTATATACCCCCAAATATTCCTCTGCCCCAACGGCTGGTACTTCTGGGAGGGTTTCTGCCGTTCCCAACCACCAATCGAGAAGATCACGGAGGAGCCAACCACAGAAATAGAGGACACGACCACAGAAGAGACAACATCGAAGTTAGCAAACTTCTTCTCCACAGAAAAGAGTACCACATACACGGCAGACACGTTTCTGGCTGATAAATTCGATCTGTCCAATTATGAAGCGGTTGATACAGTCCCCACGAGTGACGACTTCGTCAACTCATACGAGACCGGTTTGGATATTTGGTGATTTTAATCACCGATGAACAAAGTCATCACCGACGTTTATATACATATGTGACCAGAAATTAATGAACTCATTGTTTTTTATTCGATATCTATACATATATATGTTAAATTATATAGATAGAGTGTCTCCATACAAATGCTTCGAGAAAAGTGAATCAACTTTTTCATACTACACAATTTTGCGTAATAAATAGTTATGAGTGATTCCTTTATAACTTTTATATTTATTTTGTCTTATAATTTTTGCATCTTTTTAATGCGTAAAAATCATTTTGTTTATGAAATAAATAAATATAGATATTTGAAGATACATTTTTGACGTAAGTCTAAAAAGAATAATTAAAAAACGAATCAACTAATTTGACAATTAGGTGACAAAAAGTTTGCTCGCATTGTATTGTAAAATTTTTATTGTACATAATTTATATAGGACACATTAAAAGATTTAATTTACAATGGCGGACTTATACCACAGAGGGATCTCTTACAGTCAACCTTTGAGAAGCTGAAAGAAAGAAAACTGTAGAATGTACTGTTTTTGAGGTTCGATGCTCTATCTATATAATCCAAGATATATATGTATGTAACGGAAAATGATTGAACACACTGTTTGTATGTGCGAGACGAGACACTGTAACACAATGCGCCAAACAGTAAGACAATTGTCGAAAAGAGCTAGTTTATGAATTTCTCGTTACATCTGTTATCATCGTTACATCGAATAAAAAAAAAGGAACATATGTTTTAAAATCAATAAAAAATTATAACCATCCTCTTTAAATTATACTTTAATAATTATACAATTAAAATAATGCAACTATTGCAAAATATATATTTCTATTTAAAAGAAGACTTTTATTTATTTATTTATTTATTGCATTCCATAATAATTAATTAATACATAATACATAATTATTACATAAGGTTTCAATTATGGACCCTGTTGGGCACAGCAAGTAGGAGAGATAATAGAAGAATAGAATTTTTCCCCTAAGAAAACAAAAACAGAGTCAAGGGTCCAACGACGGGTCTGCATGAGTTGAAAAAATAACAATTAATATTATATTTCGCAAATGGAACGACCAAGATGGCGTCGCGTACAGATATCAAAATCTAATTCTGTCATCTTCCCAGCGGTATTCACGTCCGAAACAATCGTAGATGCTGGCCCGCTAGACCTTTGTCCCTGAACGGCACAAAACCGGAGTTATCGCTGCGATCTCTACTAAGCCTGGCAGACTTGGAGTGTGGTCTAATTTACTCGTTGTAAGCGAGTAATGTAATGACAAATTTTTATAATACCACGCTGGTGAGAAACAAGCAAACTTTCTATCTCATGGTCAGTGGTTCCGTAGCCTATGATCAAGAGTTTGATTATTTGAACACAGTCTCTGAACACAGATTAAATCGTTTAACTAAATTTCTGTTGTAGGTAATATATTCATTTATTTTAACATCGATTGTGTAAGTAGGTAGGTATTATATTTATTCATAGTATATGTATTTATGTAATATTTTATTATGTATCTTAATATTTTATTTAACTGTATGTTTGTTTATGTACTCTAAATATTAATAGTTGTAGCACTTCAACTACCCGCTAACAACATGCTTTCTAACTGCATTGGGTTGACTGGAAGAGATCTCTGTCAGAAATAAGTCCACCCTTGCTCACAATATTTATAAATGCATTAACAATGTAATTTACAAGTGCAATAATGAATATAATAAAACATTTTCAGTTGTACAAACTGAAACTGTCAAGTAGTTCATCCCTATTTGTAAAATACAAAAAAATAGAACCTCATTCTAATTATAGTCACAGTACCCATCCTCATCATCGTCATCCCAGCCATTATCCGTCAACTGTTGAACATAGGCCTCCCCCATAGATGGACATAACTGTCCTGAGTCACCTGCAACCACTGACTCCCTGCAATGCATTTAAGGTCGTCACTCCATCTAGTAGAGGATCGTCCTACACTGCGTTTGCTCGTAGGGGGTACAATACCCAAACAGATGTAAATTTATCTTGTACAAAGATGTTTTCTCCCACGAACACTCAAGTTATGGAATAAGAATCCTGCCTAAGTTTTCCCAAGAGACTACAGTATGGGGTTCTTCAAAAGGGGGATAAAGAGGTTTCTTCATGGTCGGTATCGCACGCGTAATACCCCTGGTATTGCAGGCGTTCATGAGATACGGTAACTACTTATCATCAGATGGGGCGTATGCTTGTTTGCCACCTTAGTGGTATAAAAAAAAATTTGAAAACAGTAACTGTTGGGTTTCTTACAAGTTCTTTTCAGCAGATAACAACATTTCGAACTTTGCAGTAGAATTATAAAAATTGACGATTTAATACGACGATAAGCAAATCCATTTAAGTAAAGCTTATTTCTATTCTGCTCTATTCTAAAATAATCTCTTCAGTTTACATAGATTTACAAACTGTACGTGTGAATTCAGAATTTCAATGTGTTTCAACAAGTTTAATTATAATTCTTAGCAAGTGATTTACATAATCGATCCGTCGGCGTCGTTCATCACTTGCGTTACCGAATCATGACACATATAAATTGTATATTTCGAGTCACTGTACCTTATAATATCACTTTTAAAATGAAACATATACCTATGTATTTATGTAAATAGAAAAAAGTGAGATAAATGACCCATGTAGACGATTTTATATCTATCAATCAAAAAAGTCATACTGTCATATTTTTCAGTGGACATGGAGTTCAGTTTACGCTTTTTAATTTAAGATTGGCAACATGTCCATGATTAATAACTGTGTAAATAATTAAATTGTCTCCTACGAAAAAATCGACTTCAGATGACTTCGAGATGAACAGTTAATAAAAATTAGAGTACCTACCATGAAAATTATTTCGTAATTCCAGAGCCGAACAAAATTAGAAACTGGTGGTCTAACATGAAACGAAAATCCGAAATTTCGGGCTCAATTTCGTGTTTTTATTCGTACCAAAATGGACTCAGTAAATGGAGCTTTTCGTTCATCATAAATCCTATTATAATAGTCCAGAGGAATGATATTTTAACATTTTTAATAATTTTAAACGCCATGTATTATGTAATTTTAACATCAAATTTCTGTTTCGTTCGTGCCCGAAATTTCGGAAAATATTTCATGGTAGGCCCTCTGATGTTAGAACGATTACGATTTTTAAAGACTTTATGATGAATAAAACTCTCTACGCGTAATTCGAATCCGAGGTATCGAATTTTGATTTTATTACTGTATAAAACGACTAATACATATGTGAAATGACTATAATTACAGAGTACGGAGACACAACATGTCCTTAAAATGGTCACGGTCACAATGCATTTCTGTGATGTCCACTGAGGTGTCTATACCTGTAGGCAATGGTTACCACTTTCCATCAGTTTGTATGCTATTTCAAGTATTTATTTATTTATTTATTAGTACAAATATGCGTACATGGCGGACTTAATGCTAAAAGCATTCTCTCCCAGTCAACCATAGGGAAGTGTCAGAATACTCGAATGCGCTACTAGTAATTATTGATATATATATATACTAAAATTACATATATAAACAAATAAATATATATAAATAACAAATATACTTACACATATATGACATATACTATATTATACACGAAATTGACAATAATATAAAGCACTTACTGCTCGGATAAAGTAGAAAAGTGAGCGTGAACGTTTTTTTTAAAGTATCTATTCTATTATTAATACGTGATGTCTCACTGCTTGGCAAAGGTCTCTCCATCTCTTTCCAAAACAGTCCCTTTTAAATGTGGCTACGTCATCACGCCATCGTTTCCTCGGCTGGCTTTTAAGTAGGTATCATACAAAAATATTATTGATGATGATATAATGACTACTTGTTTGTTTTTTTTTATCAACTTAGAATGGCAAACAAGCTGACGGCCCACCTGATGGAAAGTGGTAACTGTCGCCTATAGACATGAGCAGTACCATGGACATAACAGAGTATACTGTTTCGCCCATGATACCCCCCCATGCGTTGCCATTCCTAAGGACTCAGATGTTATTCCTCTGTACCCTGTAAATTCACGCCATATCCCACCATTCAAACCGAAACACAGCCATGCAAACACAACTGCTTCACGGTAGAAACACGAATGGGACAGAGGTACTCAAGCAATCGACTTTTGTACAAAGTCTCCCTTTGGTGGCCAGTAGTTGCCACGTTTTATAGAGAGATTGACAACCGCAGTTAGGCTTTGGTGGAGAAAGAGAAACGCTATTATATAACCCATCCCTCGATTGTTAAGTTCCCTTAGTAGCCTTTTACGACACCCAATGAAAAGGAATGGGTAGCAAATTTTTTGCCGAGACCACAGGACAGGAAAAAACAATTATTAAGCCATAATCTTCCAACTCGCACCAAGCTACTTTAGTGCAGGGCTAACGGTGTAAAAAACAAAAACCTTTGACATTAGAATTGCATCAGAGTTTGGTGCGATCCGGCGCGTGGGAATCTATCTATAAACGTCTTCGATTGTTTACTATCGCAGTAGCTTGTTCGTTTGAAAATATAATTTTAAATATGGCGCTTTTTATGGTTATATTACTATGGCGGTAAAGAGCATATGGACCATCTGATGGGAAATGGTCACTACAGATTATAAATACTAAAAGTTACCTCTATGCAATATCAGGAATGTCACGCACGCTCTAAGAAATCTTGGGGTCTACCATGAAATGAAATTCCGAATTTTCGGAATATGTAACTAAATAAACTCATTCATCATTCATTGTTACTAATATAATATTGTACAGTCAGAGGCCAAGTGTGGGGATCAGAATACCGTAACACAGGGTACCTTGGTACACATTCTGTCTACTCCCAAATAGCAAACTATATACTTTCTATTTTGTAAAATGTAAAAATGAAGTACCATTGTGACAGAAATAAAGATTCAGATTATTATTATAATAAAATTGTAACTAAATCATGTCTGTATATGGGACATATTAAAAAAAAATTATACATCTTAATAAGTGCAATAGAAGCCTTAAACAATATTTTTTTTAAATTTTGTCTGTCTAATTATATGTTTTGGTCGTACAGTCCCGGCATAGAAAAGGCCACCCCTTTCTATTCTGTGGGTACCGTAAGAGGCGACTAAGGGAGGGCTAGGCATGGGCAGCAGCGTCCCTCTTAAAACATATTTAAAGCCTAACTGCGGTTGCTATTCCGCCTGTTAGCAAAACCTCCAAAAGAGAGGCTTCTGTTCAGCAGTGGACAGTTAAAGGCTAATATGATGACGATGATTATTTATATGTTTGTTACGTCATTTACTGAAAACTGGATGTACTTTTCAGCGTTCTCAAAGGTCTAACTTAAAAACCGATGCACGTTTTCTCTCGATAACTTATCTAGAAGTCTATTATTATTTTATTGGTTTTACTACTGTTGAAATAAACTTGAACGAAGTAGCGGACAATGGACTAGTGATATATAATAACTGAAAGGTAAAACAGTCCAGTCTTTATGGAGTGCACACAAAAAGAAATGGCCACGGGTCCCGTTACTAAATCACAAGAGTTTGTGACAACTGGCTCCCGAAATCTCGCCCGGCCAATGCCTCCAATGAATATATATCTTGTGAATTAACGATAAAACCCGGCTATTATTTACAGTGGTACGCAACATTTGTTGGGATTACACCGTAGTAAAAGAAGTTTTCTTTTTTTTTTTCTCCAATATTTTTTTTTTTTATATACAACTTAGAATGGCAAACAAGCTGACGGCCCACCTGATGGAAAGTGGTAACATTAGCAGTACCATGGACATATC